ATATATATATATATATATCGCCCATCTGAGGCCTAGAACTTTCTACAAACTACAAGATGTTATGAAGTAACAATACTCACTGAAACACCGAGAAAAACTTAGCAGGTTCAAGTAACGTGACGTCAGTTCTCCAAAATTGTGCTACGCAACAAATGATTCATAAACAGTTATGTAAGCAAACCTGCAATAAATTATCGCCTCCAAAAATACTAAATTTAACACTCACGCTTTATAACTATCTGAACCATAACTTTCATATTGAATTTTAAATGAAACAGTCGTGTATATCTAACACTGGTGATATATACGTTCCCAGAATGACTTGTACTTTTAATTTTAATTAATTTTATTTTAGTCCATTAGGTGAAATGAAAACACTTTTATTTTCACACTTGGAAAATCGAATGCTGTGACAGACTATAATTATTTATTGAATATTCTAACTACAGATTTTTTAAATGTTTTTAAATGCTGCTGTATTCCTATTTGTATTTCATGAAATGAGTTTGTCTTGTCAATATCAGAGAGCAAAAAGAAACAAATGGTAAATGAAACTCTCTGATTCTTTTAGTGATTAAGTAAAAGTTAGAAATATTATAGGTTAATAGATAAACACTGTTACCTCTCTGCATCCAAGCTAGGCTTTTTTTCATGTTGCATTCTTTTGCAGTGTTACATTCAAAATTTTATTATATCATTGTACGTCTTTAAAGTTGACAAGAAACATAGTTTATATTTCAAATTTTTATAGCATATGTTTTCACTTCTTCTTCCAAAAAAGTAACATTTAGAAATATTTTCTGAGCTCTTACTTCTCTAATTCAGGATCTTCTAACTTCTCAGATAGGACACTACAGTTTCTAACCAATCAGAAATAGAAACTGTACATGATTATAAGCAAGAATTTAAAATTTGAATATCTTACCTTCTTGATTTGCTGATATGTCAATAAGTTTGTCAAACCCACAAAAGAACCCTTCTTCCCCCTCTCTAACCTTTGAGATTGTTTATCAACTTTACATGACTCGTGGACATCTTACTAAAATGAATGTATCGTGTATATATGTATCTATGTATGTGACTGAAATAATTAATATAATGTGGCACCATTTTTTTTTCAATGAGGTATGAATACTGTGATTAGTAATTACTAGCACAAACAGCCACCCATGGGGCAGCATTTCTGCTAGTGTTCATAACCAATAGAAAGAGTAGATCTCTTCTATGTAAATCTTACAATTTGGGATTCAGTTTTGTCATCATGAAGAATTACTTACTTTGTGTTGATCAAATGTAGTTTGTAGCTTACTTAGAAAGCCAGGTAAATTATGGTAGTTTTGGAACCTTTTTTTCTAGTGACTGATTAATGTTTTGTGTTCTAAGATGCATATTTGAAAGCTACATGAAGTTTTTGGACTCCCATATTTGTGAGGCTGAGAGGAGTATAGGGAAGAACGTCTGAAGATTTAGATTTTTACTCAAGTGCTAAAGGCTCAAGTATACCGTGAATACTACAAAACCTTATTTCTACATTTATTTATTATTATATGTTTTAAAAAAAAGTAACTAAAGTGAAAAAATAAGGAACTTCTCAGCTTATTTCAGAAAAATAAAATGTTTAAAATTTTTCTACTTCGAACAGCGTGAAACGTAAAATTGAGATCATATACTCTTCATATACCCTACAGGAAACAGCTAATGGACTTCTGCTGTAATTTATTGCTTTTGATGTGAGGATTACTGCTCCAGTGAGTACAAAGTACAGTAATAAAACCATAAAGTTAACAGAGAAAAAACAAATGTGAAAAGGTTAAAACTGTTAAGTAAATCTGAACTTTCTGAACAATACTGCAGTCAGTGCTGTGGAAAAAAATGGTATCCATTTTAATTCAAATAAATTTAAAATAAAAAATTAAAGTTAAAATCCAGTAACTCAGGAAATTGTATTTCTGGTTTTGAAACTTTTTTTTGCAAACTATAAATAATAAGTTTATAATTTCAGATATCATAGAAATGGACTCTAAAAGAGCCCCACAGGACAAGTTAAGCTGTATTGTCCGATGTAGTCAGAATATCTTCAACATATTGCACGTATGCCATGGAGGTCCAGCGAGTGCTGATGAATTTCTTCCTGCTCTTGTTTTCATCGTCTTGAAGGCAAATCCTCCTCTCCTGCAGTCAAATATAAAGTACATTACTCAGTTCAGTAACCCAAGTAGACTTATGAGTGGTGAAGGAGGTTACTATTTCACCAATTTGGTGAGCATTTATTTTTTTTCCATATTTTATATCTAAAATAGATTGTTTTGTTTTTTACTATTCTAGATATAACTACGTTTCAAAGCGATACTTTTTGACACATTTCAGTCTGATCTTGGCTAATAAAAAAAAGTTTTTTTTTTTGAGTAATTAAATTAGACACCAATTCATTCTGCACTCATCAGTTACTTTGTTTTTCAGTTACGTAACCACAGAAATAATCCACTTTAAACATGGAACGTTGCAAATGTCAATAAGCCTGTTACATATACACGACTGTTCATTTTAAGTTTAATACGAGAAAATTATTTAGTTTATACTATATGAGCATTAAACTTATTTTTAGAAGCAATAGTTATGGCAAGTTTGCTCACATAACTGTTTACGAATTATTTGTTGTGTAGTTCACTTGTAAATTGATGTCATTTTACTTGAACCTTCTGAATTTTTCTTGTTGCTTCAAGTGAGTATTGTTACATCATAAAGTTTCCTAGTTTGTAAAAAGTTCTAAGCCTCAGTTAGGTAATATATATAGGTGACCAAGTTATTAAAAGTGAAAGTAAGTTAAGTAAGACAGAGTTAGATAGCTAGATCTAGACTGGGTGATCATGAATTTTAGTCATAAAGAGTGTATAGTGTATAAAGACTTTTAAAGTGTAATAATTGCAGATTGTATTGTAATAACAGAGTAGAGAAGAATAAATCGTCTTGTAAATTGGGTTCTGAAGTAACTGAACCAGCTTTTGTGGACTTTGACAAAAAGAGACGATTATTTAAAGCTCTGGATACAACTTTGATAACCAACAGTGTAACAAACATTTGTATATACGTTTGACTTGTTTTGAATATATTATTTTAAAACAAGTGGATTGTGTGCTGTCCTTTTATTGTTGAAATTTGTTACCAACAAGTCACAGACACCTATTATAAAGAATCTGGCCCACATATAATTAAAAACCTGACAGAGTGATAAGACGATTTGTAGTGTAATGAAATTTGGGGAAAAAGGATTGAATCTTCATATTCTTCTTTCTGGCTTATCAACTTGTTGATGATAAGTTTAATTCATTAATGATTATCATGCTGTTTATAAACTCGCTCGGAAGAAATTATTCCCCGTGTCTAAACAGCCTTTATATACTTCAGAAAATAAGATCAGTGCTTATACCATTTCATACATTTTAAGACGCACGTTAATTCTAAATATCAAATTCAGTTTCACAGCTGTTAAAGTATAGTATTCAAATGGCTCAGATTTGTTAGAAGATTTTTTTGTCGTGATTATTATGGCACAAGAGAAACAAGATTTGGTTAATTATATTCTCAAGGGATGATGATTTATTAACCTATGGGATGGGCAAAAAATTATAAAAACATCAATAGGTGTGTTGTTTACAGGCAAGAGTCGCAGAATTGTCCAGAAGTGCAAGTTTGAACATTTTTTAATTTTTCTCTGTGAATTACACTGAGTAACTGATAAAAATGGCAAAAATATCAATTCTATAATGTTTTTTGAGCAAAAATTTGTTGAAATAAAGCTCAAACTATTATATTTGTTTAAATTTGATATTCATCTAAATACTGGTCATCAGAAATGTGCTCACCAGTCTGGAAAAAGGGTTAATCTCTATTTATAATGTTGTCTTGTGACCTTCAATGCCAACATCTAGGTTATTACCTATAACCATGACTGTATTCATAATGTTGTGAAAACTTTTTTGGTTTCTAATTGCAAACTTAAACTGTGTTTATAGTTTTGTGTTGTAGTTATCATTGTAAAGATCTAGGTTTTTTTAACCATGATTTTAACTGTGTTTACAGTTTTGTGTTGTAGTTATCATTGTAAAGATCTAGGTTTTTTTTAACCATGATTTTAACTGTTGTAGTTATCATTGTAAAAATCTAGGTTTTTTTAACCATGATTTTAACTGTGTTTACAGTTTTGTGTTGTAGTTATCATTGTAAAGATCTAGGTTTTTTTAACCATGATTTTAACTGTGTTTATAGTTTTGTGTTGTAGTTATCATTGTAAAGATCTAGGTTTTTTTAACCATGATTTTAACTGTGTTTACAGTTTTGTGTTGTAGTTATCATTGTAAAGATCTAGGATTTTTTAACCATGATTTTAACTGTGTGTACAGTTTTGTGTTGTAGTTATCAATGTAAAGATCTAGGTTTTTTTTAACCATGATTTTAACTGTGTTTATAGTGCTGTGCTGTGGCCTTCATTGAAAACCTCACAGCAGAGTCACTCAATCTAAGTCAGGATGAATTCAACAGATACCTCTCAGGTGAAGCAGTGCCACCTGGTGGTTATGAACAAAATGCATTCTTATGCGAAGGTCTTCGCTTGATGTATCAAAACCTGGCTGCTTTATCAGACTTGCGTCAGCGGCATGACAAGCTCATGGCTGAAGCTCTTTCTCTTCGAGAAGATATGAATAAATTCAAGGTTAGTGGACATTTAACTTTGAAAGAAATTTAAGAAAATGTTGTATTTGTCGTTGTTATTCCAGTGTTTATTTTTTTATATGTAACCTTGCTTTTGTACTAATGTTTAATCTACAGATTTTATCAGAACGGTATTTGTATTACTAAGACATTTGATAGGTGAGTATATTGACGATTTTGAAACGATAATAATTCAAACTCAAAAATATATTTTCATTACTAGAAACCTTTTTAGTGTAGAATAACATTATAAACACGTGAATATTAAAATTGTAATGTAACTTCATCGTCTCTGTTAAGTCTGTGTTATTATAGCACCACTTGGAATTAGACTCTGTTAATATAACTTTCATTGTAGAAACCTTGCAAGTGTTTATCGTTATTATTTTATCCAAGCTATAACTTAAAACATTTATTAAACAGTAACTGTATTGTTTGTTGTTAAGAATTTGAGATCGTTGAATTTTAGGACCTTTTAATAAATTTAGTATGAGTGGAGAAGTACCATCACTTGGCTGTTTTCTATACTGTGATAAAAATATATTTTGCAATTCAAGTTAAGCTCGTATCTCTCTTCATTGAGGAATTCTCTAAGTCATTTACGATCAATACCCAAAAATATGCAAACTTAAGCTGATTTTCAGCTAATAAATTGTGGATATACTTTTACTACATTTTTTTTTCCTAAAAAAAAAGGAGACTGGAAAGATCGGTGACCAACATTCATTACCAAAAATAGGCTTCAAATAATACTTTCTCGTTGAAATATACAGAAAAAATTGAATTTTTTTTTTTACACCATTTTCATGTCAAGGGGATGAACAGAAACAAAATGACTCTTCTTAACACTTGTTTAAAGAGGGTGCTGTTGTGTACTTAAAAAGATGTTTGCATATGCAAATAATATCATTATGAAAAGTCATTTTTGACCACTCAAATAATTTTATGTAGATTATAATTCTGTTTGAATATCTTAAACTTTTTTGCATTATTTTTTTCTGAAAAATAAAAACAACTACCGAAGAAAAAAAACATCAATTCTCTCATCATTTACTATAATGCCTCTTCTGTATCAAAATGTGTAAATAGTAAAATTGAGAAGAGGTTGAAATATAGGGGTCAAAGGTCAAGAAGCACAATGAGGCAAAGAATTATAGTACTGTGAATATGATGTGAGAGATAGATTTGAACTATTTAAGTGTTTTCATAGATGTGGCTTCGCTTTATTCTTGAAGTTCATTTCATCTGGGGAAAGGTTTTGGGGTATCTTTGGGAATACTTTAAATAACCTTTGGTACATGAAACTCTGATGCATAATATTTAATATAACTTGAATATTGATATTAGATCATTTCATTAATGAAAGTTCTTGCAGCATAAGCTAAGTTTTAATTTTGTTAAAAAGGGTTCAGTCATACTTCTGAGGGTGTATAGTTCTTATTCTCACCTGCCTTATTTCAAATACGGAGTACTGGTTTTAAGTTTAAATGAACCAGACATATACAGGGTGTCTGAAAAGTCTGGAACCATAGGTGGTTTGCAGCTTTTTTAAATTTCAGATATGTAACTGATCGTGGCACTGTCGAAGCATGAGAAGTTTGAGTTGATCCAACTGTTAGTCTAAATTTGTTTCGAATTACAAGGACAACATGTCGAACACCTTCTGTGAAATTTGTTGAGGTGCCTGTGGTTCCAGACTTTTCGGACATCCTGTATATTTTAAGAACTCATAAATTAAAGCAAAGGAGAATATGTTAAAACATGACAACCACACTACATGTCACATTCACTGCCAATGAGGCCTTTTGCCCAATACCAGAGCTTTGTAAGGCCAACTAAGATATGAAAGACACAGCAGTGGTACACATGCTTTGTATCCCCCACCCTTGCCGATTATTGATCATATGTTATTTTTTGTGTATCAAAGTATTCCTAAGTCACAAAAATTAAAGTTTGTGTGTTAATATTGTGTATAAATAAAGAAATAAACAGTTGTTTAATTAAACTGTAGAAGCTTCAGAGAGAGAGAGAGAAAAATGTTTTTCAAAAGAGCACAGAAAGTTATATAGATGTCTGTATTGTGTTCTTTCGTATACCTTGAGTATAATTTGTTGTTCTTTCCAGGATACGATCACCAAGGAAGTGGACTTAGTTTTAGCTAAAACTCCCCTTATTATTCAACCATACAAGATTCCTCCAGACATTGACTTAAAGGTGCTACCCTCAGTCATTCGAGAACACGTTCTGCAAGACAGAGCCAGCAGCACTTGGCCCACTGATGTCCTCCTGACAGAAGCTACGCTGGTGGACATTGAAAATGACCAGATTGCTGGACAACAGGCTGTGGAAGATAGTGGCTGTCCTCTTTCAGCCAGTGATATTTTTATCAAGCAGGCCTCAAGTCTGAAACCAAAACCAGAGAAGGTAACTCATGTTCTTCTAGAGCCAAGTACAACAGGAACTGTTGAAACCTTTCACAAGGTCGGGGAGTATTCACTCGATCTCGGGGAATTTCCTCACAGTCACTTTGTCCAGATGTAGATAACACTCTTGAGGACCTTGTTCTTCCTCCTCCACTCCAGCCAGTTGTAGTCGTGCAAGAAAGTACCAATTACTTTCACAAAGATGAAATCAAAACACGGGAAGATAGTAGCCCAGTAATCACAGCCAAAAGGAATTTAGAAGGAAGTACTGTACAGAACTTTATTTCAGAAAAAGCTACCCAAGAAACTGATGAGTTTTCCACTGACATAGGAAAAGAAGTAGAAGAAATTAGCAATCTTTTTCTCACAGGTGAAGCTAGAACACAGGAAACTAGTTGTCTAGCAATGATTTCCGAAGATGATGTTGAGGAAACTACCGTACAGAACTCAATTTTAGAAAAAGAAACACAAGAAATTGATGAACTTGCCACTGGTGTGAAATGTGAAACACAGGAAAGTAGTGTTCTGGTCACCACCTCAGATTGTGAATTGCAAGAAAGTAACATCTCACCCATCACTTCAGATAATGTTGTTTTAAATAATAATGACCCAACCAGTACATCAGGATGCGAGACATGGGAAAACTATGTTCCAAGTGCCCCATAACGAAACGAAACACAGTAATATTACCTGAAATAGAACTCATAGTTGTTAAATTTTAAAAGTCTATATTTGTCATTAAGCTCTTAGCATTATTTCTTCCAGTAGCTGTGATTCCAAGTTAAAAGAGATATAGTGTATTTCACCAAAGGTGGAGAAGTAAATTGAACAGTCAATAGTGACAGATCTTGTCGAATATCCCATTGTTGATATTTGTTTTAGAATGTCAGTTTTTAGTTTTTGCAAATACCTTAATACTTATGTACTTAAGAAGTATAGGACACATTTTTCATTATTTAAATACTACATATATTTTTGAGTAGTTCGAGCTAATATAGACTTTATCTCACAAACCTAAGGTACTGTAAAAATATTCAGTAAATTATATTAGCTGCCTTTTCTACGCATGTAATAGTGTCACCTTTATTATGAATAACCAGTAAAATATATAACGATGTTAGGTTTTATTAGGTGTATGTAGTTTTTTTATCCTTAATGAAGATGAAAGAATTTGTGTGCCAAATGTAACAAGTTTTGTAACAAAAGGTAAATAAACTCGTATTTCCCCGAATATAATACGCACTTTTTTTTTTCCACCTACCTCCCGAAAAATTGACTGCACATTATATCCGCGCACTGTCAGTTTTGTAAGGTATTTTACTATAAACTACCACCGTATAAATTTTATAAAATTGACACGTAAAGACATTTCAGTAAAAGATTTCCAAAAATGTTTAATACATCAGTAGTTGTTTATTGTATTTAGAAACTATTCAATACATTTTATACAACTAATTATACGACATATTTTCTTCAGTTTTATCTTTCAATATAGAGTGCGCATTATATTCGGTCAAATACGGTAGTTGAGTTGTTAGGCCCCACTGTCTTAGTTCGTGCATTTTTTGTGTGTGTATTCTAAGTTAATGTTTAACAACCTTCTTGAACCATGTCCAAACAAATTTGTAATTTATTTTAAAGCAATTGATATGCACTATATAAGAAGTTCAAAAGGCTATTAAAATATGTAAGAATTGCATTTGTTTTCAAAAGGGTACTATGATACAGTAATGGATATAGCTACTGTTGTTGGGTTATTAACCAGAGAATCTATGTTAGTTACAATTTTCTATGCTAGAAATATAACAGATGTGAAATATCTAATTATTTGAATGTTTTTAATAATCTGTAAATATTTTTGCCTTGAAATAATGCTTCAGTTCTAGATAGAAACGTCTATTATCTCCAGATGTTGTAAGCCTAGTCACCATTAGATATTAAATGTCTTCATATTTGTAAATTTTAGAAACATGCTCATGGGATTCTAGCAAGTACAAAGCAGTTTTTAAAGTTCTACAAGCTACCTATCCTTTCTTTTTCTTCACAGTTAGAGTTGTTTGATACCTTATCTCAACAATTATCCCTCAACAATAAGCTTTAGGGCTTATAATATTAGAAATTGAGGTTTAATTATCGCTTCGGACACACAACACAATCTACTGTGTTTGTAATTGTAGCTTTGCTTTAAAATGAACTCAATTAAGAATAAAATTCACAGAATTGGAATTAAACTTCAAGATTTGTAACTGCTAATACTCCTAAGATAAAAATAAATAATAATATTCAAAGTAAGCACAAAAGTTCAATTTCTTGAGCTTTTTAAAAAGATAAAACAAATTTAGGCTACTGTACTTAAGACTTCTGGCTTGTTTCCAAATCCAGACTCTGCGAAATTTAAATAAGCTTGTAGAATACTCGTAGATCATACTGAAAACTTTAAATGGCTTTTATTTTTATAGTTGATGTTTAATATAAGGGAAAAATATTCATTTGTGAACAGCTGAGGACTGTAATAGTAGGATAAGTTCTGCTAACATCTATATGTACATTTTTAAGTTTTCGTTAATAAAAGTAAATTTGTTTTTATGTTAGTATGAACGAATTTTTAGTATTTTTGTATTTCTTCTTTCTCGTCAGTTGTGTTTAAAACAGTGTTTTAGTAACAGTCTATTCAGCTTTCAGAGTTCCAGTATGAAGTACCTACAATTCATATTTCAAAACTAGGTGAAAAATAATTAAAATAAAAAAGTTTTATCTTCGCAGAAACATTTATAAATGTTGTTGACCTAAAATTATGTGAAAGACCATGTAACACATTACGTAGAGGATGTTTGTATAACAACATCAGCAACTTTGAATTGTTGTTAATGTAACGATAGCCTTCAATTACGATGATTAGTTTCGTTTGCTAAAATTTAAAACTATCTCCATTATAAAATAAGCAATTATTATTCGATCGCAGAAAAGCCAAACATTTTTTTTGTAGGCTGTGGAAATTTCAAACATTCAGTAATGTATGTATATATATAAACAAGTTAGACAAGATTTAGTTAATGATCGTTAAAGTTACTGAGTTAAAGATTTTGTGAATAATCAGTGCATGATTTAGTAAGTTTTTGTTTATTTTTAATCATCAATCGTTTCAGTACTGTGAACATTCCGTTTCGAGGAAGAACTAGAGATGCAGTAAAGCAAGTAAAGGGAGTTCCTACTGGACAAAGTTCAATTTGGGAAGTTAGGCTTATCAGTGAACCTAAATGGTGGAGAAAAAAACGTTAATCATTATTTTTTATAGAAAAATCCAAAAGAACCTGACCAGTAATAGAAAATATTACTTCAGGAGTGATATTAGTTATTTACAACTTAATAGAATCCAGACTCAATCTCAAGTTTACAACACGTGCTCAAAGCAATTTCGAACATTTAATGAAAGTGACTAAAAGGTGGAAAGAAGATCAAGAGGAAAGAAACCTGATATTTATAGAAGAATTGCAAAAAAAAGGAGTTCTTTGAGCCCCCCAGTGGCACAGCGGCATGTCTGCGGACTTACAACGCTAGAATCCGGGTTTCGATACCCGTGGTGGGCAGAGCACAGATAGCCCATTGTGTAGCTTTGTGCTTAATTACAAAAACAAAGTTCTTTGAGTAGAAGATCGAGGAAGCTATAGCAAATGGTTATAACCAACAAATTGAACAAGTACAAAAAAAACACACCAATGAAGTACAAAAGAATTAAAAAACAGGAGTTATAAAGTAACGCAAGAACATCAACTCGACTACAAAAATACCTAGAAACTAAATTTGCAAATGTATGGATAAAATTAGCCACACAACTCTCTTTGCATCAGCCCAAACTTTTTCGTTTTGTTTTTTATTTCGCGCACAGCTACACGAGGGCTATCTGCACTAGCTGTTCCTAATTTAGCAGTGAAAGACTAGAAGAAAGGCAACTAGTCATCACCACCCAACGCCAACTTTTGGGCTACTCTTTTACCAACGAATAGTGGGATTGACCGTAACATTATAACGACCCCACGGCTGAAAGGGCGAGCACGTTTGGTGGGACTGAGATTCGAACCCGCAGATTGCTACTAGAGAGCCCTAACCACCTGGCCATGCCGGGCCCCTAAAGTTTTTACCTCAAACACAGATAACTCCAGCAAGGACTTGGAGAACACGTCTGGTATAGACCTGTTATCAGTACTATTGTGCCATTTACGACAGCAGAACCTTACTGTACTATTCTAGCTGCATTACTACCTAATTAACTTACAGAATTTAGCAGGTCAGTACAACGGCATTGCCCAATTAAAAACCAACTGACTGTGATGGAAAGGTACCACCTGAGGTATATCAGGCAAATTTTAAAATAATTTCAATATTCATATTGTTTTGACAGCGGAAGGCGCGCGACGCTGGGAGCATGCGCTGGAGTTCTAGAAAGATCGAGGAACCTGTTGAACGTCCTAGCGTTTGCTAGACGCGCGCTCTTCTTTTATATAAGCGCGGCAAATAAAGCGAGAGAATCAATCGGAACTGGAGTAGCAGGTAGAGAGCTTGAAGATATAAACACAGATAGTTGAGTCAAGCGGGCGGTAGGCACCGTGAGTAAAGTGCGTGAATTATAGCGTGTATTTAAGTTAAAGTGACTGTGAAAATTAAGTGTATTGCAAAGTTGAATTGAGAAAGAATAAACTAGTTTTATTTAAGAAAGGACTTGTATCGCTGAAGTTTCTCCGAAAGAATTTTTACGGGAAATTAACAAACGAACACAGACGTAACAATATTTTAATTATCCCTAAATTAAGCCTCATGCCTATTTCATATTTGTTTAATTACTGTTCTAGACACACAAAGGTTTTATTTTGAGAAAAATACATTTATACCACTTAGTTTTTTATTTTTAAGCAATTTTATTGCTTTGTTGGCTTATTAGACCCCCATTTTGAACTTTTAACTTCATCAGAAGCAAAAAATTAAATCACCACAAGACAGATCACCTATCTCTCCCCTTTTTTGTGCATAGCATCTGGTTGTCATTAATTTGTTGTAGTTATATATATATTTTTTTGAAACGGAGTGATAGCGAAGATTGCTCCGATTTTTCGACAGGATACCTATGTTTAAATCATTATTGCAGTGCGTTTGCAATTCAGATGGCCGAGCAGGCCCATCAATTCTTTCCCTTCAGACTAACATAAAATTGAGGTCTGCTTAGTATAGGAAATGGTGTCCAGTCCATCCCAAATTCATGGCCCTGGATCCCAGCCTACTAGGCCAGCCATATATTTGGTTGTAGCTAAAAACTTCATGAAAAAAAAATCACGGATTATAGTTTAATTGAAAATAAAGAGTGATATGAAATATGATAAACTATTCATGTGATCACGTGAAAAGAAACAAAAGTAAAAATTATATTTACTTTTATGTTACTATGTTAGAATAAGCGTTCTTATTTCATTGTTTAAACATATGACGTAACGGTCTTGATAAGATGAGTTTCACTTCTGAGAGTCGTTTTACATTAAAACAGTTATATGACTTATTTATTATCTATTTTTAAATTGTCAGTGATTTATATCAAAACTTACGTAGTTTTAACAGGTAGAATTATTTGTGTCACCACCAGTGATAATGACTGAAGTTGTTTGTATTTCCTAGAGAAACTAAAGTACACGATTAGTGTTCTTACTGAATAGGTTCCGGGAATGACGTCATCACCAGTATTAAGTTCCCGCGCCCTTGTATCAAAATGGCGACGAGAGCGAATGATCATTTGTCGCAAGTGGTGAGAGGACAGGTTTTTGAGGTTGGACCACGATACACAAATTTAGTGTACATCGGCGAGGGAGCATATGGAATGGTTGTGTAAGTTATTATCGTAAATTGTATTTAATTAATTTTAATTCATATTTTGTTTTATCTAATTAAGCTTTGCTAACATGATTAACTGTATTGAATGAGTCATAGACTCGCCAGCCACTTGAAACAGTGGTCGTACGGAACAACGCCAAACTTCTAAAGAAATGTTGATATACACGGGTGTTGTAGATTGTAGCGGGTTACAAGAAACACCGGATGTGCTGTACTGGAAGGAAGAATTTTGTTTCCTTTACACAGTGGTTTATAATTATATGATTTGTAACATTTGATCAAGGGCGTGAATTACCAGTTCCTTAATAAAATATGTCATTGAATTTTATTTTTAAACCTAGAATATTGGAGAATACCTCTATTTTCTACAGTTAATGGTATTGATACTTGCAGAATTGAACTTTTTATTTTTGAAATACATTTTTGTTGTTGTTAACAAAAAAGCTTGAAAATTTGACAGGTATGTATAATTTGATAATTTTTGTTGTAACATTCAAAAAAATAGATCAGGCTTTAAAATATAGAATATTTGATGACACTTGCAGAAGTTCCATACTATTGGAAGATTCCTGATCTGTTGATTTTCAATCCTCAAAATTACTGTTTTATTTTCATACAGCTTACTACTATAGGATCAGTGAGGTACATATATTTTGGTGCTACTATAGCGTGCGGCCTACACAGATACTATCGTCATCACCATTTTAATGATTCACTAAAACATAATTTTTTGCTATATAATTTATATCTGTCCACGTTTTTGTTTAACAAATAATAATAATTTAATAAGTTGTGTATTCCAAAAGTACCTTAGGTTTATGTTATATATCTGTGGGTAGTTTTGATTGTTGGAATTTATTTTATTTTGATTATATTTGCCCTAAAAACATTATGTAATGGTATTTTGTACTTTATTAATTTAAAAACATTATTTATAATAAATGGTGCCAATTGCGAATAAACGAAAGTTAAAATGGTGATGATAATAGTATCTGTGTAGACTGCTCGCTATAGTGTAAATATCTTTGTAGACTGCACGCTATAGTGTAAATATCTTTGTAGACTGCACATTATAGTGTAAATATCTTTGTAGACTGCACATTATAGTGTAAATATCTGTGTAGACCGTACATTATAGTGTAAATATCTGTGTAGACCGTACATTATAGTGTAAATATCTTTGTAGACTGCTCGCTATAGTGTAAATACCTTTGTAGACTGTATGCTATAGTAGCACCTATATTTCTTCATATTGGATAATTGTATGTTTTTGCTTGTTACAAAACCAAATAACAAAAAAGGGTGAAATTACTGATTTTATGAGTAAAACTGAGTAATTAGTTAAATTAATAGCAATATTTATGATATTTTTTCATTACATTTATTAAAGAAAAGAGTCATGGAACTGTAGATAAATCAGTGCATAAATAATTTTGAATTTTTGAAAAAAATATCTGATGGGGTCCATATGTATCTTATTGCTAATTTTATGGTTAAAAAAAAGGTTAGATGGGGGGGGGTCTGGAAAATATAAATCCTTTTAGTGGGACTTGTATGGATAGCAAGAGAGTATATGGTCTAGTTTTGGGTACCCACTCTTGTGAGAAGTAAAAATTTAAACCTACCCTTTATTATTTAGTTATTTATTCTCCTCTTAAACTGCAGTAAATTGCTGGTTTCCAGACACGTAGAATTCTTCAGGAAGCCACCCAAACATATACACAAGAATCACACAAGGGTATAATTAATCAGGTATATATATATATATATATTTATTTAAGCTGGGCACTGGACAGGTAGAATATTTGGCACCCGTCCAGTGAAAGTTGGTTTTTCTCGTTGTTTTTCCCCTCTCTTCATTATAGCAATTGTTTTTAACCATTGTCCTGAAAGTGGGGGGAGGAGTGTTGGCTTTTAAAGCTTGCTTTTTTCTTTTCTTTAATTCTTCATCTCCCAAACAAATACCAAGAAGACATAAATCCAAAAGCTAGCTGCATGCAAGTTATCAACAAAGAAAAATAAACTTTACTCTCTAAATTTGCCATGTTAATACCAAGATGAAGATAGAAGTCCAAAAGATTTGTTTAGCAACACACAATAGCTTCAGTTGGAAGAAGGCTAAGATTAGCTTTGAGTCACCCCTTTTCTTCTATCCATCAGAAAAGATAAATTCTGTCATCTGTTATTAGCAGTGGTGTCTGGACAGCGACTCGTTCCATAAGGCATTGATCATGTTAGAAAAAGTAAAGTATCATAACTGTAGCTTAAGACTGTCTTTTTTTTTCATATCGTAAACTTTGTCTTTTCGTCCTTTTATCCTCAGAATATAATAACACAGAAGTCAAAGACCTATTTCATATCAATGTCCCATCACTCTTCTTTTCTCAAGGCAAATTAATGGATCTTAACCAATTTCTATAATATAACTATTCCATCCCTGGGATTATCCTAGCATCCCTCCTCTGAACCATTTCTATTAATTCAACATATTGGAATCTGTCATCAGAAATAATATTCAAAAACATCGGGAAAACTCAAATGTAATAAATAACTTTCACTTTAGTTGTAAGAAGCAGCGGAGTCTATCAACTATATAAATTTCATTTAGGTTCTGTCATTGCTCGGAACAGTATATAGATTTGTAAATTTTTTGATAATGATAACCTTAAAAAAAAACAACAACAAAGAATAATGACTAAGTTTCTTTTTTGCTATTTCAACCACTTCTTTTTTTTTTTCTTTTCGACTGGATTGAAATAGCTAATTATGTAATTTTTAACTTCAGCTCTGCAGAAGATAATGTTGCAAAAACAAGAGTAGCCATCAAGAAAATATCTCCTTTTGAGCATCAGACGTATTGTCAACGAACTCTCCGAGAAATTAAGATCCTAACCAGATTCAAGCATGAAAACGTGAGTTTAATATGTGCTACCCTATAGAATTTTGATATGAAATAAGTTTTGGATGTTTCTTTATTGTCATGTGGGTACTTCTGTGCATTTTTTGTTGTTGTTTGATGTTTTCCTTAATGACATTTTTTTTTCAAATTCCTGGTATATTCCCTATGTTGTGGTCATATAAGATATTGCGTAGAGCAGTGTTTCTCATCCATCACGACTACCTTGTCAGTCCGTGGGACTTCCCGAAAAACAAATAAAAACTGACAAAACATTCATATGCAAATCACAATGGTTTTGTGTTGTACTTAACATTTTAGTGATCCTGACAGTTTAGGAAGACAGTGAGCCGGTTTCTGGTATCAAGAAGATTGAGAGGTGCTGATGTAGAGTATATGCTTGGATGTACAACTCCGTACATTACTGGTACTAATCAAAACCTTCTAATATTGATATTAAGCCATACTGATAGCTCGCACTTTGTCACTATTTCATTTAAATAATTTAGTAATACATTCATTGTGGATCTAACTAAAAGTACTTTAAAACCTAGTTATGAAAAAATTAAAAAGGAAGGCTTAATCTTACCATATGTTCCAGGTTTAACTACTAGTTTATTTAAAGTGTTCAAAAAACAACAGATATTCTACCCTATATTTAAACCGATAAATAAGATGAATCAAATCTTAGGAACTACGAAAGATGAAATACATTTAACTGAAAAAAACTGGAATATATAAAATAGAATGTGAATGTGGAAGTATTTACATTGGTCAGACAAAACTTAATTTAAAATACCGCTTAAATGAGCATAAAGGATATGTAAAAAATAAAAAAACAGAAAATTCATCCATAGCAGAACCTGTACAAGAAACACAACACACAATATTATGGGAAAAAACTGTAATATTATCTCAACCTAAAAGTGTAATAGGTAATAATATTCGTGAATCGTTAGAAATAATAAAACACAAAAAAGATCATGTAGTATTGAACAGAGATGAAGGTTTGGCGAATATTTCTGCAAGAATGTGGATTGATCTCCTTTGAATGGTTTAGTGTGAATGTATGTAAAAATAGCATACAGGTCACATGACCTACTAACAAGCTATAAATACTTTAGCAT